TTTTTTTAAGCTAACCCCAGTGCTTAGCAATGTGCCTGGAAGAGAGTGAATCCTTAAGAAATGCTTAGTAACTGACTGACTAAAGCAATGGCGATAAATCTAGTATTATATATAGAATGACAGGGCTAAATAGAACCTTTAGAGATGTTAGAGTATACTTTTAAAAAGCTTTGAAATAGTAAGAAAAATAAGAGGAAAAATATTTTGTCCCACCCCATTGTCCTTTCTACTTTAGTGTGTTCTATCAATAGATAAAGAGAGACAAATTTCTTTGTCAATGAAATTATGAATATATCTCATTTTAAAAGTTCTATTCTAGAATCTGGTGTTACAACGACCAAAATGGAACAGTCCTTGTCCTCAAGATGTTACATAAACCTTATACAAGGTTGCAGTATTTACACAGGGCATCAAATTCGTAATGAATCAAGGATGGAGAAAGCCCTAACAACTGGCTGGGATCAGAGAAGGCATTCTGAAGGTAGAGGCCCTTGAGCTGAACTCAATGAGGCAGGTCTTTAAGTAAGATTTGGGAAAGACTCAATCTTATATATGGAGAGTGGTGTGGATTTCCCTTAGAAGGAAGGGCTACTTTTCTTTCAGGGGCCTGCTGGGCTTCAGGTGCAGTCTTCAGTTGAAGTATTCTCCTCAAGGCCAACTGTTACTCTGACTTATATTCACTGGAGGTACTATGGTTAGTAAGCCTCTTCCTCCTAGTTCTCAAAGGAGAGGGCTAGGCTGATTCAGACATATATGAGCCCAACTAGATTGTACGATTCTTATGGTTAGAGATGTTTATACTTCTTTTATGCCCTCTGGTGCCTTGTTAAGTGTTAAGCATAGAGTAGACATTTAATAAATATATTGTGCTATAATAATAAATTAATAATATTAATAATTAATAATAAATTAATTAATTGATTCAGCTACTCTCTTAAAAATGCTGCCTATTTTAAGACTTTGATTCTTTTAATCTACTTATTTCCCATTATCGAAATGGGTAGACTCTGGAATAAAATAATGTCTTTTCTGTGTAAATCAGTGGTGATGATTGATTTGATGATAGATCCTTTTTTAGAAATCACTTAAATCGGATATCTTCGGAAAACCATTTCTTGGTGACTTTTTCCTCTTTACATTATGTAAGTAAATTGTTTTCCAATTGTTTTTAAATTTTTTTTTTGGTAGATTCTTTACTTATGTGAACCATAAATGGACAGTGGCTAATTAGTCATTTTTTTTTCTGTATGGGATAGCTTTCTGGCAGACTGTTTGCTGACATGGATCAAATTACAGTAAAAGTTATGTAAGCAACATATCCCTGTGGTGCCACAATTCTGATATGGTCCCTGTGCAAGCAAAGCATATTTTAAGGGAAAGTGAAAATATACAAAACTGACACTCAGGGAGCAAACCACAGATAATTGCAAAATTGCTTTCAAACCCTCAAACCCATTGCCTCACAATGAATCGTATGACCTGTGAGAGTCTTAGAACTAACTGGCCATTGCCACATGCTTCTTGTTGAAGGGCTGATACATAAAACCTTGAGTTAATATTTTTGATCAAAAGAAATTGGTGCTCGTGGTTACTCTCTGCTCCTTAATATACTTTCATCCTTTTTCTTCCGTGGCACTGTATCCTCCTGGTTCTCCTTCTACCTTTCTCTCTATTTCTTTTCTGTCTCATTACTGACTCTTTTCCCTTTTCTTTTGGGAGAAGGAAAGAGAAAGAAGAGAGAGACAGAGGCAAAGGAGATAGAGATAGACAGAAAGAAACAAAAGAGAGAGAGATAGGCATTATTAGGTTAAGCTTTACAACAAAACAACAGTCATTGATATTCACATGCTATAGGAGATATGAACTATGGGTTTAGTTATCAAAGAGAGAATGTTTACCCACTGACTTTTTGCACACTTGTCCCAGGCAAAAGAAAACAAGTAGATTCTTTTCAATCAGCTCATCGTTGCTATAAACCAGTTTTTGCTGTGGTGGTTCACCCACATCCTGTATTGCTTCATTAGCGTCACGTATTTATTTTGTGTGTTTCTATAAAGATAACAATGAAATCCTCAAGATTAAAAATAGGGTTTTTGGAATATTTGTTTTTGAATAGAGATAAATACATGTGCAGCTTGGTGGCACAGTAGATAGCATGCTAGGCCTGGAGTCAGGAAGAATCATCTTCATGAGTTCAAATCTGGCTTTAGACTCTTACTAGCTGTGTGACCATGGACAAGTCTGTTCGCCTTAGTTTTCTCATTTGTAAAATGAGCTAGAGAAGGAAATGGTAAACCAGTCTAGGATCTTTGCCAAGAAAATCCCAAATGAAGTCAAGAAGAGTCTGACATGTCTGAAAACGACTGAATAACAACGACCACCACAACAAACATGGGGGTAGCAAATAGCCGGTTAAATTGCCAAATCCTCACTGTAACAAGTGATTAGTAGAAATTAGTGACATGACATGGGGATGAAGAGGGAGAGAGGAAGGGAGAAAGAGAGAGAGACAGAGAGAAAGAGACAGAGAGGGAGGGAAAGAGACAGAGAGAGACACACACACATACAGAGAGAGAGAGAGAGAGAGAGAGCAATTGAGGCAATTGAGTGAGAGAACATTGGATGTGTCAGCTCTACCAGCTGGGTTAATTGTTCTGCATGACCCATAGTCCCTGCAGTCTAATTACACCAGCCTCTGAGCTTGGTTAAACAGCAGCAACTGAACCACATACAGCTGGTTGGAAAGGATTTTTGCATGAAGCCAACTTGCTCTTTTTAACATAGGATTTAAAAGCTGTTATTTAAAAAATCATTATGCTAGACAGAAGCCTTTTCCTCATGTAAACTTCTGGGAATATTTGCTTCCTCCTGAGCTTTCAAAGATAATGAGAACGTGTAAATCTTCTAGATCAAAGCAGATGCCGAAAAGAAAAAAAAAAGAAAAAAGAAAAGAAAGAAATAAGGAAGGAAAAAGAGAAAGAATCTGGTTTGCCTCCCCAAGTGATGACTTTAGAACCACGGATTTCGATGCCTCACTTGCAGGTTGGAATCTTTCAGTGGGCCCGTTTTTAGGTTCTGATATATTTATGAATAGAGTCTAATTCTTGGATTGAATAGAAAATTGAATCTCCTATAGTTTTAAAATAATTGGAGCTTCCTCAGTTTTTGTTGTTCAGTCATGTCCAGCTCTTTGTGACCCCATTTGGGGTTTTCTTGGAAAAGATGCTGGAGTGTTTTACTATTTCCTTCTCCAGCTCATTTTACAGAAGAGGAAACTGAGGCAAACAGGATTAAGCAACTTACCCAGGGTCACACAATCAGTAAGTGTCTGAGGTCAGATTTGAACTCAGGAAGATGAGTTTTCTTGATTCCAAGCCCATTGCTCTATCTGCTGTGCCACCTAGCTGTCCAGTTTACTATTTATATTTGCTTAATGAACTACATAGTCACTATGGGGTATAAAGCATGCCAAAGGCAGGTTATTTGCATTTTCTCAAGCCATTTAGTTTTAGAAAAGCTCATTTTAATTATGACTCATATCTGTAATCTTCTTCTATATACTAGTCCCAAAAGAGCATGCCTTTTAGAGACCCAAGGTTCATAGGTACGATAGGTTATTAAAAGTGAAACCCTTCAGAAGTCTAATCCACTGAAATGTCACTAATGAGTAGTTTCAGCACTCATTAAAGAATTTCTAGTTACTAGTTTTCCTAGCTATACAAACTTGGTGCTTAAAGGTATTATGCATAATTTTACATTGGGTATTATCTGATGAAAATATTTTAAATCTGGGTTTAGGCTTGGGTCATTTGTATGAGCCTCTCTTCAGTGGCTGAGAGAATGACTTCTCAATGCTGCATGCCTGAATGAGGGGTAATGTTGAGACTAGAGTTCAGGAAAAGAGAGATCTTTCTTCTTGCTTCCTGCTTTTGAGAGGATATATGAGGAATCAGACCTGCTTTGGAGAGAAACCCAGCAATTAATTGAACTGAGATACCTAGATCCCAGTGGATCCCTAGGCTCATTCACTCTATATTTTCTGGAAAGTACTGATCTGTATAACTTCTCTGATTTTTGTTTGCTCTTTACTTGGATAAATGGGTTTATTTGCCTTTTGCTAATTGGGATAGTCTTTTGTGTAACTAGCATTTGGTAGGAAGGAACCAAGAAGTGTACTCTTTCTATAAAGGATTAGCTACCAGGGGAGCAGCTAGAATCTAAAAAAAAATTTCCCTAATATTTGTGAATACAGATAGATGTAATTTTAGTCTGGTACCTCCTCCCTTAGGAGAGCAAAATAGCTTGTGTAGTAGTCTCAATCTTCTACCCTCTTCCAGGCAGGAATTAGAAGTCTGTCTTGGAGAGGGGAGCCCAAGATTCCAGAGATACCTATTCATGCTTCCCAGTGAGTCAAATTTAGACAACTCATGTACATGTTCATATAATCTATGTGGGCAACAAAGACAAACACTCTACATGATTCTTTTTTTTTTTTTTTGGCTAGGCAATGGGGTTAAGCGACTTGCCCAGGGTCACACAGCTAGTAAGTGCTATGTGTCTGAGGCCAGATTTGAACTCAGGTCCTTCTGAATTCAGGGCTGGTGCTCTATCCACTGTGCCACCTAGCTGCCCCATTCTACGTGATTCTTGCAAGTTATTTATTTTGGGGCATGAAGTACAATAGGGATGAAAGCATGGCATAGCGGAAAGAGTGCTGGATTTGAAGTCAGAAGATATAGGTTCAAATCCTCATTGTCACTCCCTGAATGATGATGGGTAATCTAATTAACCACTTTGGGCCTCAGTTTCTTCATGGGTAATGTGAAAGGATAGGACTAGATAGCCTCTACTAGAAAGTCTCTTCTAGTTTGAATCTATGATCTTATGAACAAATAGTGGCATCCTAAGACGTAATCGATTTAGGACAGGAGACTTAAATTCATCAAGGGCTCCTCACCAGGCTTTTGCTCTCTCCTTACTTATTTTGGTTATCAACCACCAATCAGTCATTTTTTATTTTGTCCTTTCCAATTCACAGATCTCCACAGGTAAAGAAAAGAGAAACAAAGTAAAAACTAAGAAGCTCTGTCTTTTTTTTTTTTATCAGTCATCATTTTTCCATTATCAGTCCTATCTCTTCTTTCATCTTATTCTTCTTCCCAATACTCTCAGTTAGGCCCTGGGGAGAGAAAAAAATAAAAAATATTACATAGTCAAGAAGTCATTCATGGTTATCATTTAAAGTATGCAAAATCAAGAGTTCAAAAGTCTCTCAGCCAGTTGGGAGTCATGCCTTCTGCCAGGGACCACAAGAGGTTTCCATTGTACCAGGAGGAATGACATATATACAAATAAGTATAATGTAGGGTAAAGTGTGATGGGGGCAAAGACAACCTCAAAGCAAAATACTCTGGGAAAATTTGAAGTGGTAGAGAACACTTCCAGGAGTTGGTAAAATCAAACCTGAGCCTTGAAGGATATGTTTTGAAATGCAAAAATGAGGAAAAGTTCCTTCCAATCTTAGGGGGTGAGGAAGTTTCAGGGATACATAGAATCATGAAGCAGTTTTTTAAACTTTTTTTTTTTAGGCAATTGGGATTAAGTGACTTGCCCAGAGTCACACAGCTAGTAAGTATGAAGTGTTTAGTCTGAGACCGAGTTTGAACTCAGGTCCTCCTGACTTCAGGGCCAGTGCTCTATCCACTGCGCCACCTAGCTGCCCCAAAGCAGTTTTTTTTTTTCTTTTAGCAAATAGCCAGGAGTCCAATACATTGAGATAATGGTGGAGCCAAATTGTTGGGGATCTTAAATGTCAGATTAATAAGATCATGTAAATTCAAATGAATAGCTAATTATAGCAAATATATCTTAAACCATCTAACCAATAGGGAGTACATTTTTTAGAGTTGAATGAGATGGCTGGATCCTTCTGTGGATTTATTAGCAATAGCAATTCCCTGCTGCCCAAAATGGTGCTCCCAGCTATTAAAGCGGTCACTAATTGGTCAAATGTGCAAATCTAGATCTTCTCTAAGTGATGCTGAAAATTATATTAACTTCCTATGCCTATAACCAAGGCCCAAAGCCTAGTGGAAATCAAGTTGTAATTGAAAAGACATCATATGGTTCTTAAAGATGCTTAGTGTGCTCTAACTCTCCTTCCTCCGTGTTTTATTTTCATATTTGAGGGAGAATTAATGCATGTATTTGCCACAGCCAGATGTTTAGATTTCTCAGCCAAGTGAGATGTGGAATTATTGAAAGAAATAGGAAAGGCTAAAGAAGGAGGCTTACCTTTTGTAACTGTGATGTGTGGGTGTGTAAATTCTGTGAACCAAATTAAATCTGAGTGAGCTTAATGAATATGAAAAAATTCTTTACGAGAATGCTTTAAATGCGATGTAATTTTACAGTCTATTATTTCTGGTTGAAATGCTTCATTAGCCATGTGTTTGGTCCACTCTTTTGGATAAGGACCTTATCTGTCATTTTATTTTCATAAGGAACTTCCAGGTGACAAAATTCTCTCTTCTAACGCAGGTTGGAACCTTCTCTGTAATTTAGTCTTAGACTAGAGTTGCCTAGAATGCTGAAAGGTTAAATGATTTGCCCAGGCCAATACAGCCAGTAAACATTAGAGAAAGCGCTTGAACTCAATTCTTCCTGGCTTTGAGGCCAGCTCTCTACGCACTACACCAAACCCACTCTTTCCATTTTTGGATACAATTGCTAAAGCAAACTTTCAGAATTTTTTTTTAGAATGTTTTTTAATCTCCTTATCAAATAGTACAAACTGGTCATAAGGTATAGCTACATAAAATTGGCAATTCTGATCTACAGCTAATTTATTTTAACCTCTTAAGCTCCAAGGAGGCAGGGGAATTACCTTTATATCTCCCTCCAATACAGTGCTTTGCACATGGAAGGACTTTAAAAGCTGGTTGTTGGAATAAACACAAGAACTTTGATATTAAATCCTACTCAGTATAATTTGACTGATAAATGCTTAGTAATTGGTAGATTGTCTTTAGAACTTTTACCAATGAGGATAAAAAGATCTGTAGCCTCAAATATTGTAGAACTACTAAAGAATGTGTCGACCAACTCTAAATATTTTAAGAGCTTACTTCTTTCTCTGTTTTAGGTAGGCTTTCCATGGGAAATTGTAAGATAAAAGCATGAATCAAAAAATGCTACTGGAGAGTGCTGCAATTTTTTTTACATCATTTTTATGCCATTTTGTCTTTTCTTCCCAATTATATTTCCTTCATAATGCTTCATAGTAAATCTCCTTCAAATGAATCATTCAATTAAAAATTATTTATGAAGCACCTGCTGTGTGCTAGCACTGTGCTTAGTACTGAGGATATAAAGACTAAAGTGAAACAGTTCTTGCCCCAAAGATCTTGTATTCCAATGGGAGAGACAACACAACCTAAGCGACTAGTGTACCTTTATCAGAGAGCAGGGGAGGGTGGTAGTGGCTTCTGGAAATCTCTGAAGTTTCTCTTCTTCTTCTTCTTCTTCTTCTTCTTCTTCTTCTTCTTCTCTTCTTCTTCTTCTTCTTCTTCTTCTTCTTCTTCTTCTTCTTCTTCTTCTCATTCTCTTCCTCTCTTCCTCTCACTCTCTTCCTCTCTGTCTCTCTCACTCTCTTTCTCTACCATCTATATCTCTTTCATTATGTATCTACGTATACACATATATATGTATTTGTATGTCTGCATACATATTTGTATACATATACACATGTATTATAGATACGTATGTGTATATGTCACTACATAGGAGAAGGGTCTGGGATAGAAATCTCCCAGGGTACTTTCCTCTTGAAATTGAGATTGTGTAATGTAAGCACAGACAGGGAACAAGACAGTAACCATGGGAAGAAGAGAGAAAGCACACAAGAAGGAGCAATCGCATGAGAAGAGAAGGGGGAGGAGGTGGAATGGACTTAGATAAAAAGCAGAATAATCATTGGAAGCAACAATTAAAGAGCACACAAGACTCTCTGATGGAACAGGAGGAGGACAATCAGATGGAGACAGAGAGAGAGCTCAAAAGCAGAGAAAACCAGAGCTAAGCAGCACAAGACTAGCGGTCACTAAGAGATGGAAGAATCTGGCCACGCAGCTAAAGAGTCACAAGAAACAGAGGAGTCTGCATAGGGCAATACAGCATACAGTGATGATTCTACAGCTACAGAGAAGTGGGTCGGAAAGCATCTGCCTTGCTGAAGGCACCTGGAGGAAAGGAAACTCAAGAGATGGATGTCATGATTCTAAACTGTGTCCTTCCAATTATGTTGTGTCAAGAGGGGATTTTATTATCCTGTGATGGTGAAAGATGGAATCCATTTTTATGGGTATGGATAATGATTACTATTCATTTAATTCCCTGTCATTTATCTTCCTATTCTATTTTATTTAAATATACTTTTGCTCTTGAATTCACAAGTTTTGTATAGTCTGACATAGAGACGGGCATGGATAGAGGCTTAGATCATAGTTCAGATGACCCAAAATGGTACACTCAACCTGGGGAGGAGACTCTTAGAATCCCTGTCTTCCTTCAAAACTCAGCTCAACTACTACTTTCTGTAGTCCTCCTCAGCTGCTAATATCTCCCCCCACCCCCTGTCCCAAGCCTATGATCCATTTATGGATTGGTTTTCTGTATGTACCTATTTATGTGCATGTTGTCTCCCTCACTGGAATATAAACTCCTTGAGGGCAGGGACTCTTTTTTTTCCCCTTTATATCATCAATGATTAGCATGGTGCCTGGCATACAGTTAGTGTTTAATATATGCTTGTTGATTAATTGATTAGTGAGGTATTGAAGAATCATGTGGGGAACTTGAGAGGGATCAGGTCTATATTATTACAATTTGGGCTATTTCGTTTTTTTAATTGCATTTTTTCCCCAAAAATAAAGATAAAATACACTAGCATTTAATATAGTTGTGTTTTTCATTTTGTACACTTTTCAAAGAGCATAGAAAGGGCTTGATTAATAATTATATTAATGACATTAGGAGAGACAGTGATATGAATAATTGATACCTATGGATAATGACTCTTTCGTACATCAAAGGATATGTGATTTTATTCATGTAGATTCTCTTTCCACCAACACAAATCATAACCTAACCATACCTTGGTTGAAAGTTTCATGAGTTGCAGTGGCCTATGATGAACTGTTCCATATTTAGGGTAGTTTTCAAGAAACAATTCATCACCACAACCATACATGAAGCCCTTGCAGTTTGGTAGGATCTATTAGAGTATGCATACCTTTGAGAATATACACTGTGATAGAGTATTATTTTAGGTCTAGTAGCTAATTATACTTTAAAAATACATATTAGCCACTAATTCTAGCAATTAGTAAAAACCATTGATTAGAATTTGACTTCTCCCTCTTTCCACATATACTCCTGAACCCATCAGGGCAAGTACTAAATAGAAGATATTTGTTACCAAAGGAGACCAACAGGAATTAAGGAGAAGGATTATGTTGGATAATCCAAAACAAGTTAATTAGTCTTTAAGTAATTGAGAGTTGGCTGAATTTACAGCCTTGGTGAGCATGGATACCTCCATTTAATGTACAGAAAATGTGAACCAAGGGAAATGAAAAGTGAGCTATCATAGCTAAACTACCCCCTTAAGAAGAACCAGAAAAAAAAAACTAATGAGAAAAATTATGTACCAATATAATTTTGAACCACAGTAGCATTTTTAGGTTCTAACAACTCCAGACCTATAAGTTATATAAGTTATACATACTGCTAAAGTTCAGTAAAAATATAAATTTCTAAATCTGCTGCAAATAGTACACACTAAATCCAGTGACATAACAATCTTCTTGTTCATTTTCATCACACGTTCACCAGACCAAAGAATATTGCCAGAATGCTATAAACCATTGTTTATACATTATTGTGTATTAAATAGTGGCACAGCCAGCCCTGGAATGCGGAAAACATCTTCACGAGTTCCAATCTGGCCTTGGACACTTACTAGCTATGTGACACTTAATACTGCTTGCCTCAGTTTCCTTATCTAGGATATGAGTTGGAGAAGGAAATGGCAAACCACTCAAATATCTTTGCCAAGAAAACCCCAAATGGGGTCACAAAGAGTCAAATATGACTGAAACAACTGAACAACAGAAATAG